TATAAATATTAACTTATTGGATACTAATGGGATAGCTAGGAATAATTATTTAACTTTAATGTCTAGTTTTGGGTTTGCAAGTATAATAAATAAACCAACTCGGGTTCAGGGTAATTCCTCAACATGCATAGACCACCTTTTTGTCAAATGTAAAAGTGAAACATATGCAAAGATTAATTCTGTTATACTAACTAGGGATTTCTCAGATCATTACCCCATTTTGCTGAATGTAAAGTGTGAAACAATCCTTGATACAGCTAAGAATCAGGATAAGAAACTGAAACAAATCAAAAAGAGAATAAATTATGAGGAGGTATCACACCTTTTGTCGGAAGCAAACTGGGGTGGTGTAATTAATAGCAGAGATGCTAACATTTGTACAGACAGGTTTATTGATATAGTGAAAAATATCATTGAACAGTGTACATCTGAATATAAGATTAGTAATAAATATCATAGAATAAAACCTTGGATCAGTCCTGGCCTCTTGAAATCTATTAGGAAAAGAGATAAATTAAAAAGACAATGTGCCCTCTACCCAGACTGTCTTAATGCTATGAGTACATACAAAGAATACAGGAACGTTTTAACAAAACTTATCAAAAAATCCAAAAACCAGTATTACAAAACAAAATTGAACGGATGCATAAATGACTCAAAAAAAACTTGGCAGATAATTAGGGAGGCCACGAATGATCTAAGCTGTAAGTGTGAAATCAAAAGTATTCAAAATGACAATGATATAGAGATAGAAGACCCAAACTTAATAGCTAGTGAGTTCAATTCTTATTTTACGGGAATTGGAGAAAAGTTGGCCAAGAAAATTAAATTAAATCAAATTCACGATTGCTTCAGACAACCAACTTATAGCTTCCAAACGTTCTTTCTTACTCCTGTGACAAGGATTGAAATAATACAGCAAATTCAAACTTTAAAAAATAATGTTCAGGGTGGAGAGGATGGAATAACTTCGGAAATCTTGAAAGCAAATCATGTTAATCTTTTAGAGCCTCTAATTCACATCATTAACATCATCTTCTGTACGGGTGTTTACCCAACAACTCTCAAAAAAGCTATAGTTGTGCCAGTTTATAAGCAGGGAAATAAAAAATTATTATCTAATTACCGTCCCATAGCCTTGATAAGCACAGTTAGCAAGCTGGTTGAAAAATGTATGAAATTTAAGCTAACCAACTTTCTCATGAAGCACAATACTTTATCAAAAAATCAATTTGCTTTTAGGGAAGGGATTAGTACAGAGGATGCTTTGTGCAAAGTTACAGAACAAGTTCTGGGCCAGCTTGACAGGGGCAAAAAGGTTATTGGGATATTTTTGGATTTAGCCAAGGCCTTCGATACTGTGGCACACCCAGTCCTACTTGAGAGACTAAATAACATTGGAGTTCGAGGTATAGCGAATGACTTATTAAAATCGTATCTAACAGGGAGAACACAACGAGTGAAAATTGATGATACCTTAAGTCAGTCTCGAGAGCTGGGGGTGGGTGTGCCGCAGGGCACTGTCCTTGGCCCATTTCTCTTTACAGTTTATATAAATGAAATATTATCAGTGATTGATGGGGACTGTGTTTTCTGCTTTGCAGATGACACTGCCATCATAGGGTCATTTCACTGGTTCTCGGCCTGCTAAGTAAGAAATCGACTTTGGAGGTGTAGTTAATATGGAAAAAAGTGTCGGATCAACAATGTGAGAATATTAAGTAAATCTTTGGAATGTTTTTTATCAAAAATTAGTCGTCTAAACCATGCTTTAGATACAAAAAGCGAAAAAAAAAAAGAAAAATTAAAAAAACGTAATTTTTTTGGTTCTCGGTCACTCGCCGCAGTTCTCGGCCAATTTTATATCAGTTCTCGGCCATACAAATTCCAGGTACCTATTCGAAAAAGACGTCTGATGCCATCCAGCCTTTCTCGGGTTTCTTCTCATGAAGTTAGAGTACCAAGTTTGCTTCGGCATTCCTCCTTTAAATAAGTTCAGGCCAGATTCTACATTAATTTTCGATACAGTCTCCAACAACATGTTCTTTTTAAAGGGAAATCCACATTTGGAAAGCTTAATCACCCATTTTTTAATAATTTTTTTGCCTTCTTCAGTTAATAGAGGCTGTGGTCCTGGTTTCCTCAGCTCATCAGGAACTCGACCAGTGAGCCGGTCTTGAAGGGTCGTTCTGGGGACTTTTTACCTTCTACTGGCTTCACGAACTGAGATATTGTTGATTCGGACTTCATGTAAATCTTTTTTTAAATCCATTTCAGAATATTGAAACATGGTTCGTTTAGCTACTGCTTTTGCCTTGGGTCTGACAGTTGTTTTTTTCTTGGAACTTACACTTTTGTGGGAGCCACTAAAAAAGACAGAAACAAAAACTTTTCTTTTAGCAAAATTGTTTAGGTCTCTGATTTATCTTAAATGATGGGTACTTTAACTTTAGTGAGGTAGGTGGTATAGATACCTACTCCATTGAACATGCAATCAGGAATTTTATAATGGCCGACAATTGAAACACACAAAATATATGGATCCATGAGTTCTCGGCCACTGAACTTTAGTAGTGGCCGAGATAAGGTAGTTCTCGGCCCCTAAATATTTATGAAAATTGAAGTTCGAAACAAACATATTATTTTATGTAATATTTGACGGCCGCAAACTAATATATAAAAAGGAGATATGCAAATGCACCTGTTAAAAATTTTATTATGTATTACCTATTAACATAATCTGAATGAATTCAAAATAGAAACATTAAACAAGTATATGATTCTCGGCCACATGGCCGAGAACTAAAATACGTGTTTTTTTCAATACTACTTTCCGGCCGCCTGAAATTTCATGAAAAAAAATAGTTTTAATAAGATTTTCTCATAAAATTATGAAGGTAAAATATATTCCTATAAGTAAAAACACTTTCCATACATTTCTAACATAAAAATGTTGAAATATTTACTATTTTCTGCTCAAACATCACTAAGCACTTTTGAAGAATAACACACGTCGTACTCGTGACTTGAGTAGACCTCTACTAAATGATTTTTCAAGTCTAAGCCAATTGCACCCCTAACAACACCCAAAGTCATATGGGTACGAGAAAGATACAGAGAGTCAGATAAGCATCGAGAATATGTATACGTGCTGTAGTTTTCTTATTTTTCAACATTAAACAGAAAAATGGCCGAGAACCGGTGATGGCCGGTTAACCAGTGAAATGACCCTAGTAAGTGGTGATAACTGGGAGCAAGTATTGAAAAAATCAGAAAATTCTATTACAAAATTAAAAAACTGGTTGAACCATAGCTTATTGTCGCTTAATGTAGACAAAACGAAATTTATTGCCTTCGGACTGACCCAGAGGAATTTACCTAGCTTCCAACATCTAAAAATTCATGACCCGGGTTGTAAATTGGGACAATGTAATTGTAAATGTAGAATTGAACGTAAAGCATTTTTGAAGTATTTGGGGGTTTTCATTGATGAAAATATAAACTGGAAAAAACAGGTCGAATACGTTACGAATAAGATAAGAAAACTGATTCATAAATTTTATGAGCTAAGAAACATACTAAAAACTAGAACTCTAAGAATGGTATATCTTTCACTTGTCGAGTCCGTTCTTAACTATGGGTTGGTTGTATGGGGGAGTGCTTGTAAAACAACAAGAGAGCCACTGTTTATTATCCAAAAGTTTATTATTAAGATAATGTTGTTTAAAAACAAACTATACTCTACAGATTTATTGTTTAATGAGAGTAGACTTCTGACACTAGAACAGCTATATATTAAAAGTGTAATAAGATTTATGATAGCATCACCTTATTATAAGTTTAACCTGCAGCATCAGCTAAACACCCGACATCTTGCAAGAAATAATGTACTTATCCCTTCAGTTAAACATTTGGCCATGCAAAAGCATATTAACTTTACTGGCCCGAAGATTTATAATTCCTTACCACAGGAATTTAAAAGTAAACCATATTCCAAAATTAAAAACCAAATTAAAGACTGGATTATAAATAGTAGGCTATGTTTTCCATTTGTTTAAAATAAAGAAAAATAAACTTGCTAGCTTTTGTGATAGTGAAATAGGATACTATATTTGTTTTTATTGTATAAATTTTCTATAACCTTGACTAATTTATCAATTGTGTAATATTTGGTATGGTATGCACACACAGATTTTTGAAAAATCCATTGTGCAACCAATAAACTCCTAGGAGAAAGTAAAAAAAAAAAAAAAAAAAAAAAAAAAAAAAAAAAAAAAAAAAAAAAAAAAAAAAAATACACTCAGTGCGCACTGACCGTGCGTTCGTTATTTTGGTCCGAGTTCTCCGAGCTTGACTTTACCGTTCGTTTATTTGAAAAGTGTACTTGGTGCAGCCTCATTCGCGTTCGTTTATTAAAATTTCTGGCACTTTTATACAGCGTTCAACTGCTCTGTTCGCTCACTGGTCACGTGATTACGGCTCCGCTCAGCACGCTCTGCTCTTTGAGCAAAATACCGAACGCAAGGTGAATCTACCAATCGGAAACGCCATTATGCTTATGACATTGTATAAACGCCTTCTAAAATTGTGATTATGATTAAGACTAAGACTAAGACTATGATTATGATTACGACTATGCAAATGTTGTATAAACCGGCCATAAATGGCTTTACGTTCGGCCGTGTTTTAATATTTTACTGTTACTGCTACTGTTACTGATACTGACACTATAAATCCAGCTTTATTCATAATGAAAAAATGGGATGTAAAATATTGGTCAATTTACGTTGCACATGCCAAACGTAACGCAAGAAATGTATGAATTTATGCTAGAATGCTTGCGTTTTAGTTCTTTGAGCTTACGTTACAAATATGGTGTACACAATGTACCTATAGCTCAAATATCACTTTGCCCTTGAATTTGTGGCCGTGACTGATCCTATTCTTGCCATATGCTTTGCACTGGAAAAACTACAGTAATACAAAACGACTAGGTATACCTTTTTCTGATCCTCATCTACTTTGTACTCAGTAAAAATCTTGAGCCCATTCTTGAACACTTCAGTTGATGGGGGCAAGGCTCCATCTTCTAATTCGACCTCATCTGCCCAGCTGGATTTTACTGCTGCAGCCGGCATTTTTTTGAATTCAATAGTATGTGAGTAAAAATAGTATTTTCCAAATACGAAATTTGGAAACCGCAATCAAATCAACTCCACAGACCACAAGGCACAAATTACAAATCACAATCGAATCGCCCACACTTCCAAGTACAAGTAAGGCTATGTTCCGATTCCGATATCAACTGTCACTGTCAGTACTGGAGTGCGTTCGAAATTGCTGTATTACTATTATATCTCGAGTTACACCCACACCGAACGTGTCGCTCTGGAGCTCCTCGGAGTCACTCAAAAATACACAATTCAGATATTATCATTATTCTTTGATAACCTTGCGTTCGGTATTTTGCTCAAAGAGCAGAGCGTGCTGAGCGGAGCCGTAATCACGTGACCAGTGAGCGAACAGAGCAGTTGAGCGCTGTATAAAAGTGCCAAAATTTTAATAAACGAACGCGAATGAGGATGCACCGAGTACACTTTTTAAATAAACGAACGGTAAAGTAAAGCTTGGAGAACTCGGACCAAAATAACGAACGCAGGGTAACACTACCTAAAAGAGCTTCTTGCACCCCCCGCAAATTTAGTGCATCAGGGAAAAGGTGATGCGCTATGAGCGACTCGAGTGTTTAACGCTCTTTTAAAAGGAACTTTCCAAGCTTTTGACATTGAGCAGCTCCGAGTAACTCAACGGGTAAAAGAAATCAGTAATTCACCCTGGACGGCGATTCTCGAATCGTGTGATCCCTGTTCTCATAGGAAAAGTACGTGTGGTTTCTATTAAAATCTATTACGACGTATTCTCGAAATTAGGGACAGTTCACTATCTATGAAAGTTGAGAGAATTCTATTCTACTACTTTTTTTGAAGAGAACGTCTGTTCTCGGGAGAACCAAACGTCAAACATGCGCTTTTTGTCAATTCTACAGTCATCATCCATCATGGTATTTTTTTGATGATGTGAACATCTTTTTTAAATACCTAACACCAAAGAATATTATAGTTAACTATAGAAAACCTACGCTTATGGGCGACGGCAGACCGCTAGAGGCGCTGCTCCGGTGTTATAAATTGAAATAAATTATATTCGCGCTAGCTTTTCGGCAAACAAATTTTAACAGCGTTGCGCGATTCTCTCGGGCATTTAATATATTTTTTCTACAAACGTCACTAAAAGTGTCATTTTTAACGGATGCTGTCAGTGTCTAAAATGCCATTTTATGACACTGGTATTAAAAGTGATTACTTTTAGCACTAGTGCTAAAAGTAATCACTTTTAGCACTGATCAGAAAATGTAAAAACAGGAAATTTTATATCAAAGTAAAATATTTATTTAATTAAATTAAAATTAGCGAAACTGCAATTAGAATAAGAAACTCCATGGCCAATCTCATTGGTAGCAAATACTGAATTTATTTTGGTAAAACTTGTACCAGGAGAGTAAAGAGCAATGTTATTCTCCGAACTTTTGGGCAGAATTTGATCCGCAATGTTCTTTTGTATGAAAACTCGTACTGTTGCTTTGACTTGCTAGGCAATAATTCGAAAGTAGCTTTATTGGCAGCTTCTTCAATTTCCGCCGGGAGAAATTCATTGTCTTGATCACTTTCCATCGCCCAGAAAATAAACTACAATGAAACTGGATGAAACCACGCAAAAGCCAAAAATTGTGCAGAAACCGTAAGCAAAAATTCGTGATTATTTGACGTTATTAATCAACAATGACAAACAGAGATGACAAATAAAAATAAACAAATTCGTTTTTTTTCTTGCCAGCAACCTATTTCATAAATAAATTAGATGAAAGATTTGAAATTGAGGATTTCAAGGATGCGTTAATTTGGACTTTTAAACAGTGTTTGTAGAAAAAATAGTGTATGATATTCGTGCTAAAAGTGATTTTATTTTGTTCAAAGGGATGGAACACTCCGCCTTCGGCGTCGTGTCCCAAACTTCCCTTCTCACAAAATAAAATGTCACTTTTAGCACTTATATCATAAATAACTATTTTGTGATTTTACCTTGTAAGATGATAGACTAACTGGCGCGGCGGTTTTAGAATTTTTTACATCGACATATTAGATGATACCTAGTTGCTACGTCTAATTTGCTGTATAAATAGAAAATATATAAACTAAAACAAAATTATGCTCTGCGTGAGATAGGGAATGTTGAGTGGAGTCATTTTTGAAGTGGAAACTTCTTTAGAATCGTTGGGAGTGATTTGAGACTCGATGAAACTAAACGAAAAAGCAACACTTCTTTAACACGCTTATATTAATACAAACACACAACAGGAACCTGGAACAAGCCAAGTGAGCTGGAACAAGTCTGGATAAATCTGGATGAAGTCTGGAAAAGTCTGGAAATCTCTGGAAACGTCTGGAAAGAGCCTGGAAATTTCTGGAAAGGGTCGGAAAAATTCTGCCAAAGGTCCCAAAAGACCTGGAGATCATTTTCCAGAATTCGGATCAGTCTGTACAAGTCTGGATAGGGTCTGGATAAATCTGGATAAAGTCTGTAAAACTCTGGAAAACTCTGGATAAGTCTGGTTATTGTCTGGAAAAGTCTGGAAATTTCTGGAAACGTCTGGAAAAGACTTGGAAATTTTTGGAAAGGGTTGGAAAAAATCTGAAAAAGGTTCCAAAAGACCTGGGGATCATTTTCCAGAATCCGCATCAGTCTGAACAAGTCTGGAAAAAGTCTGGATTAATCTGGATAAATTCTGGAAAACTCTGGAAAGCTCTGGAAACGTCTGGAAAGAGCCTGGAAATATCTGGAAAGGGTCGGAAAAATTCTGCCAAAGGTCCCAAAAGACCTGTGGATCATTTTCCAGAATCCCGATCAGTCTGTACAAGTCTGGATAAGGTCTGGATAAATCTTGATAAAGTCTGTAAAACTCTGGATAAATCTGGAAAAGTCTGGAAACGTCTGAAAAAGACTTGGAAATTTCTGGAAAGGGTTGGAAAAATTCTGAAAAAGGTCCCAAAAAACCTGGGGATCATTTTCCAGAATCCGGATCAGTCTGAACAAGTCTGGATTAATCTGGATGATGTCTGGAAAACTCTGTAAAACTCTGGATAAGTCTGGATATTGTCTGGAAAAGTCTGGAAACGTTCCAGACTTGGAAATTTCTGGAAAGGGTTGGAAAAAATCTGAAAAAGGTCTCAAAAGACCTGGGGATCATTTTCCAGAATCCGGATCAGTCTGAACAAGTCTGGATTTATCGGGATGAAGTCTAGAAAACTCTGGAAAGCTCTGGATAAGTCTGGATAATGCCTGGAAATCTCTGGAAACGTCTGGAAAATGCCTGGAAATTTCTTGGAAGGGTCGGAAAAATTCTGAAAAAGGTACCAAAACACCTGAGAATCATTTTCCAGAATCCGGATCAGTCTGTACAAGTCTGGATAAATCTGGATGAAATCTGGAAAACTCTGGAAAGCCCTGAATAAGTCTGAATAATGTCTGGAAAAGTCTGGAAATATCTGGGGCTAACACGCTTTTGATACATCGAACTAAAAAGTGAAAAATAATTTTTAATATAAACAGAAAATATTAATGAACAAAAAATATTAAAATTATTGTCAAAAAAGCGTGGGGTGCTCAATGTATGAGAAATGTGGAACCAAACACCCCAGCGTGTATTTTAGTTTTTTTAAACTATATTTATTTGCGTTCTTTCTCAAGTCTTTTGGAGGGGGGGACGCCACTGTCTATGTTAGTATGTGTGTAAAGCCTCATTTACACGGTGCAAGTAGCTTGAGCAAGTACTAACGCCAGTAACTAAATTATCTTTGTTTTCGTGCAAGTGGGTGTTTACATGCATTTTACTGATTTTAAGTCGAATTTAGTGATTAGTGCAAATTGAGGTGAAATGGCAGCAAGTACAGTTGTTCGAAAAGAAATTTAAAAATGCATTTTGAGTGTTTATGGAGAATTATCACACATTTTATTGAAAGAAATTGAAAATGGAAAACGTTGTTGGGTTCGACCATGGATATCTCGTAGAGAAACACATGGTGCATCTTCCACATTATTGGTTGAACTGGCTAAGGAAGATCCAAAAGAATATCGAAATTGTATGCGGATGACAAAAGAACAATTCAATAAGTTAACTTTTCGAAATAAAACCCATGATTAGCACACAAGATACTGTAATGAGACCTGCTATTCCAGTAAAAATTACATTGGAAATTACACTATCATATCTGGCAACAGGAAGCAGTTACAGACGACATTGCAAAGGCAACTAATAGGTGCAAGGTGCAACACAATACTCAAAATATTCAAATTCAAACTCCACTAATGTACTTCACTAATCACTAAATACAAATCCTGTCTACACACGTCCAGCCCGCTAAAGTCAGTAAAATAAACGAGAGGGGGAAGCCACTTTGCTCAAGTAAATAGAACCAGCATCTATTCACTTGACTAATTACTTGACTAAAGAGTTTACTTGCTCAAGTACTAAATTAAGGTGTCTACACGATTCAAGTTACTAAATTTTAGTTACTGGCGTTGCTCAAGCTACTTGCACCGTGTAAATGAGGCTTAATGCATGCAGTTCGATGAAGGTTTCACTTCTACCGGGTGTGAATTGCACAGGATTTTTTTTTTGTCTGGCATTTTCAGGATGTGCATAAGCGCAACTAACTCCAAATACAAGGGGTGCTGACGAAATGAGACGCGTAAAAAAAAATTAGTTTTACGAAGGTTTTGTACTTACGTCATTTGCCTTTTTGAAAAATAGCTTTTTAAATGTCTGAAATTTCAACCAAACATATCGGGTCTTCAAAAAAAAAGCCAATCAAAGATTGCTATTGTTTTTTAAACGTACGTCTTAGCAATATTTTTCTTTAATTTTGACAATGTCAGTCAATGAAATTTAATGTCAAAATGTCATGTCAAAAATCCTGACCAATATACAAACAATAATGCGTACGTTTTCGTAACCAAAGCAATCTTTGATTGTTTTTTTTTTGAAGACCCGATATGTATAGTTCGTTGCACGACACGAGGGTTTTTACTTACGTCATCGATGACGTCATAACAATTTAAAGAAAAGATTAAGTCATAGATTATTTCAAAGAGCACCTTCGGAGTTATTGTTTTGTAATAAATTTTTTCTACGAGCGTGCGGAAAAGTGTACTTTTCCGCACGCATTTTAGGTCATTTAAGTATCAC